GTGGTTTGAAAAATTCTTTTGAATTTTATAGCCTATTTACTGCGGTATGTTATAACAGGCTATCTTATAAGTTATATCACATTGCGACCTACAAGAGCGGAGTAATTCTGCAAAATCAAATAACGCGGGCAGAGCCGCGTGAGAACGCTAGTAACTATATAAACATGTTTACCAAGGATATGTCGTTCACGCCTTGCTTAACACACTGACCTATAAAACTCGATAAGCGTATCAAATGCATGGACGTCAATTTATATAGTGCATTGACGATATGCAATTTTGGCCTCCAGACGTGCGTCTTTCTTTCTTCTTGCTGCGACCTTGACCCGACATAGGCAGTACTTTGTAAACAACATTAATTTTGTAACAACTAACATTTTTGTTTGTTTCAAAATTGATTATATTAGGAATGATGACACCTTTTGAGACTACACTTGTAGTTAGTGTATATCCAACAATTCTTACATTATAAGGCTATAGAGTCCGCCAAATACGTTATCGTATATTTTTCCGTTCCATAAAAGGTGAGATGCCATCATCGAAGCAATTAGGCAACATAAGAAGATATATACTTATGTAAATTCTATATCAGACACAGTAACATAAAAAAATAATAAAGCTGCTATGCTAACTATTTAGTTAATACTTAAAGTTTTGACAAACCTAAATCAGGCATTTTAATCCCTCCACGACCGCGGACAGGCCGGCGTTACAGTTAACTATAGATTTTTTAGAAATTTAATTAATTTCTTAGAAATTTACCTGGATGTGATAATACTCATAAAGGTGTTAAAATCATACTCCTAAGATGTAAATGAAATTAAGTGCTTAGTATTGTATAAAATGTAGCGTTTGAAAACAAACTTTGATTTTATTTATTTAACTAATATTGACAGTCTCTTGGTCTTCGATACATAAGCCTGTTCAAAAATAGATGTCCGTGTAATAAAAATATAAACAGTTATTTAAACTCAAATTCAAAAATATGTAGAACTTTACAAGTGCTTACTTTAAAATTGTTATCAAATAATAACGTGAGAAAGTTCCCACAGGCTTGCAATGCAATTTTGCTGAGATTCACCTGAAAGAATAAAGGCAATCTAGTCTATGCATCTTCCATATATAATATTTTGATCTCTCAGTTACCTCAAGTGCTAATTGAACATCTCACTTCAGTAAGCTACTATCACATAGAAATACGAGCAACTTGACGTAACTAAAGAAAAAGTTGTTAAATTAATAAAACGATGCACAACTTCAATCAACCATTTATTATAAAGTTTTCATTTCTCTCGCAGTATTTTAATGTTTTAACAACTTATACTTAAACTTTTTACTTTTAATAACGCCACGAAACATGATGCCGCTTTTCTATTTCTTACTTGTAAGTTGTATAATTACACACAGATAAAAAAACATTATTTTATAAGATACAAATACAGATTATAAAAACCGAACTGATTGTGTTGACAGCAATACGATACAAAATCATTATTTCAACAAAAGTAATTTGTCCAACTCCTCCATATTTGTGAAAGAATTTTAAGAGTGTTATCGACGTATCCTTTATAGATTAAAATTAAATGTTATGTTATTTCCAAACGATTTATAATATAAAATTATTATTTTTCTATTTACTTTTTATACTAGAAAATGTTAGTACTTGGTTAAATAGATTAATCCAATGAATGTTAGCCGTGATCAATGGGCGGATAAACGGATGAAAGATTTTATACGGATTCTCTTCTTACTTCTTTTTACTTCTAATATACCTAATTGGATATTGTCCAATATGATTGGTAAAGAGTAATAGACAAACTGTTTCTTTTAAATATAACTAATGAATAATTATACGCGTATATATTTTAATTTTAGTAGGTTCTAATCTATACTATCTATACTAATATTATAAAGAGGTAAAGTTTGTGAGTTTGTGACGTTGTAGGGAGTAATCTCTGGATCTACTGAACTGATTTAGATGAAATTTGATAAGAAGATAATTTGAGACAATGGGAAGGACATAGGATACTTTTTATCCCGGTAATCATTCCTTAAGGGGGGTGAAAATGGGGATGAAAATGTATGGGGAATCAACCTAGGGAGTAGGGACGAACCCGAGCGAAACGAGGGTAGAGTCGCTAGTATAAAATAAATTAGTAGTTATTATGTTGAAAATATTAGAATTCAAATATACCTAATATTAATCTTTTTTGGGACTGTAATGATTTTAATAAAGTAGGTACCTATAATAATTGAAATAGCAATTTGTGGATTTTTTTATCATGAATAGTCATTTCTCATAGCCTTCTCATGAGACCTTCTACAAGTTAGTTTGTGTAATTTAAAAATAATAGCACTTTTTTGATAACAACCACTAGGTGAATAAAAACATATCTACTTATATATGTCGGTATAAACTAACCTACTGCGGTACCACTACGCAACCTTCAAACTAATCTTTCGGAACCAGTCACGTTTTCGACAGTGATATGACAATCGAAAATATAATGAACCTTTAATTTTAGACTAATAAACAAGGTGGTTCGCCCAGGGGTATAGTGAAACACATATGCATCGTAAATTCAACATAAGTACGTGCAGTATACAGTGGACGATCTATGTACATTCGTACTTCTATACTAATATTATAAATGTGAAAGTGGGTTTGTTTGTTTCTTAGTCTTTCTTTCACGTCGAAACGGATTAGCGAGATTTTTTTGTGGAGAAACTTGGAGGGTTGGAGAGTGACATCTAAGGCTACTTTTCACCGCGGGAGATTATTTAATTCCCACGGGGATACACGTTATAATACAATCGAAAAAAATACTGTATTACTTGAAACTTTGTATTATTGTTCTTCAATAAAATTAAATAAATACGTGTTTAGCATCGAAATTCATTCTATAAGCGGGTTAAATAGGGGATGAAAATGTGTATGAAACTACCTTTTTAGATATTTTTTGTAGTTTTAGCGCGAGCGAAGCCGCGGGTTTTGCTAGTGCATAATAAAATTACAAACGGTTTTTTTGACAAATCTCGAACTACCACCACCATACGCGATACTTACGTTGATGTTAGATACTATGTCGGAAACCCTCGCAGTACCGATATTAAAAGCGTACAAGATGGATATATTTATATATTTTTGGAGATTATCTGTTCAATTTCAAATGTATAATAATAATAATAATTTTAAAATATGTGGATGGTACGTCATATGTAGTCTAATGCAAGTCAAGCCTCAAAAGTTCGGGCGTCATGTTTGGACTCGAAGCGTATCTTCCCTATACGTCATACTTAAAGGACGCCGTGCTAGTTACGTCACATTTTCATGGTCTGATACAATTTCTTTAATCCGTAACAGACACTAAGTACTACTCGACATATTACGTTGATACCCTATATTTTATTAACATTAAATTTTATAGCATCCTACTTATTAAGATAATGTTTATAGACTTCTCAGTACTTATATTATATTGTTAAAACATTCATTTGTTTTTAACTAATTACCTAACTAAGCTGGACAATGTAAATTCGATTTCCGCAACACTTTTTAAGTTTTTTTTTTATTTTGTTGCGTAGTGTACTTTGTTTTAAGAAGAAATCGGTGTGAAAGAGACTGTCAGTCCGCTCACCTTTTATATTTAACAAACACAGGCTTTTCACTTTCTACTTAAGATATGAGCTCTTTTGTTTTAACTTTAAAATAAATATAACTAATCTGTACGCGATAATTAATTCTTAGCTTATCTAATCTATTTAAAAGTCTAATGTAAAAAAATTACAATTAAAATTAAAAATATAATAAAATTGTGACTTAGCCGAATGTGTACGTTAAATATTTTTTGAAAATTCTTATTGAAATAGACATTATTATCGATACAGTCGCCGAATCTATCATTTTTAGAATTTTGTCTGTCTATCTGTCTGTCAGTCTTTCTGTGACCGCAGCACGGAAAAACCACTGAAGGGATTTTGATGAAATTTGGTATGATGATAGCTGGTTATTTGGGTCAACATATAAGATACATTTTACTGCGGGAAAATATGTCATCTCTGAGAAATTTATACTAAACGTTAAGTGTGGAATCGCTAGTCATAAATTAAATAAAAATATTTTTATAAGTATTTAAATATTGCATAAAAGCGTTTTAAGTATATTCTTAGTACGTTCATTAAAATTATCTCTATATCTCTACCATTAGAGATAATAATAGGTTTGCTCAAAACAGTAACTTAAGAGTACGTAATTGTAGTTATTTTAATGGATAATTAACTGTATGTTGTACGACTGCTTTGTCATTAAATGATGGCTTAAATTATAGTTAGTGATAAATGGAGTATGTACAATGTATAAATTAATAATATACTCTTACACTATTGACTTCTAATAATAGGTATTATTAGAAGTCATCGCACCGCATTTTACAGAGTTTTTGTTTCATTTATATCAGCTAAATATTAATTTAACATTAAAGTAAAAAAAATATACCTAGTATGGGCAATGTTACACTCATTCAAAACAAATAATAATTAGACGCGATCTTAAATTGATTATATTGAAAGAAATTACCTTTATTATTTAACTTTCGCGTGATTTCAAATAAAAAATGTATAAAATTACAATATAAATTATGTTTTCGCTATTGAAATTGAACAAAAGGCAAAAGGTGCTATTGTCTTGATAGCCGAAAGATCAATGAAATCGTATGTCATGTCAAATGAATTCTTAGAGAAAAACAGATAGATATGTTACGAAAACTTCAATGTATTTCATTTACGGTTCAAAAGCGGAGGGCGCAGGCGCGCCGCCGACGTCACGAAAGCCGAGGTCTCTATATAAGCTCGCGTAACCCTCCCGCTAGCACCACTCGCTAGCTAGCAATAGACTTCAACTCACGTACGTTGGTTGCTACTCTCGCGCTACTCACTATCGCTTACTTGTGTTCGTACCTTTGGCACACGCACTCGTATACAAAATGACCGTCAGTAGCAAGATGAACAGTGTTTCCCGCCAGTCCGTCTTTAGCCGACTTGGACCTGGTGGGCTACTGTATGCCGCAAACAAAATAATAGCGGTATGTCATCGCATTGTGTGGTGTTTAATTTTTATGGACGTGAAAATACTTTTCCAGTGTTAATATGTGTACAAATATGGTGTTTTCAATTGTGTTTTCTATTTGTCTTCAGGTTGCTGCTGGCAAAGATGAGGAACGTTGGCGTAGTAAGAACGAGGGGACCTTGTTCAAACGCTGGAAGCGCACAACTTCCTCTGTGGAGTCCAGCCCTCCTGTTCCTACGCCGACCACCCCATCTTCGCAACCCTCCGATTTGCTCAAATTCTTAGCAATTGTAAGTATCCCATATATGCATTTAAATAATGTTTAACATTTGTGTTACTTTAAGAGAAATAAGAAATAAAATATTGCTAGTAGTGTTTGTAGTGTAGTTTATCTTATAAATCACATTAAAAATAATTCGTTATTCAAACTAGATTTTACTTTTTTCGAAAAGTAATTACCTACCTAATTATAATTATTACTGGTCATTAATAATAAACTATTTATTGCTCTTTTGGGTCTTAAATATTTGGTCAGTTATCATACTTTAAAGATAAAGTAACACTTGGATAAACACTATCCATTAAACGTTTCTGCATAATGATATAATAACTGAATTATGTATCGTGACGTCACGAATTTACTCTACATTGGTATAAAGCGATGATAATATATTGAGACTAAACGAAGTTTTAGTAAATTATAAGACCTATTTCTTTTTGTTACAGAATGCATTGGAGCTTTCAGCACCAGCATCTGATGCTTTGCTTAAAACACGTGCATCAGAATGGTTCCAGTTGTCTGGACATCCAGGATCTCTGGCACCTGCTGGCCCCGGTACTGTTTGGAAGAGGCGTGCCGCTGGCGATCATCCCATGCATAATCCAGAGCGGGATGCGTACGAGGCTCTCGCCGCCTGTCCCCATATGCGTTCCGCCATACCTCGCTACTACAGAGAACTGGAGTATGGTGGCGAGCATTTCATCGAATTACAAGACTTATTACATGGATTCCGCGATCCCCACGTAATGGATATTAAAATGGGCACTCGCACTTTCCTAGAAGATGAAGTTAGCAATGCTCGTGCTAGATCTGATCTTTATGAGAAAATGGTTCGTTTAGACCCGAATGCTCCCACCGAAGCGGAACATGCTGCACGTGCTGTTACTAAGTTGCGTTACATGCAGTTCCGTGAACAGTGTTCGTCGTCCGCCGAACAGGGTTTCCGTATAGAAGCTGTGAAACTTCCCGGTCAACCACCACTCAATGACCTCCAAAAAGTTCGTGAGCCTAAGCAATTGGCTGCCGCAGTCGCACGATTTCTTGGCAATGATGATCGTGCTCGTCGCGCCATTGCTGCTCGCCTCCGTGAAATTAGAAGTATGTTCGAAAAGTCAGATTTTTTCCGAACTCATGAAATCGTTGGAAGCAGTATATTTATTATCTACGATGATGAGCGTGTCGGCGCTTGGCTTATCGATTTCGCTAAGACTCGACGCGTGCCAGATGATATTAAAGTAACACATAGACAACCGTGGCAACAGGGGAATCACGAGGAGGGCTTCTTATACGGATTAGATAGGCTTATAAATACGATAGAAACTGCAAGAATTTCTGAAGCAACTACAGAACCAGATGTATCACGTTGAACATTCCGCGAGCTGATATTGGACTCGCCCCGGTAACTTCACCGTTCGCTTGGCCTTCGTGCCCCAGTGTTACTCTCCCGATGCCAAAGTTAAGGCTTGGAGATGTACAGAAAATGACGTTTGTGTTTGTTCATAAGAAAGAGAAATGCGATGTATCATGTAATTAATTGATCTAGTCCTTAAATATTTAATTATATCTTTATGATTTTCAACCGTGTTGCTTTAATATTTTATCCTAATAATTAATACTTTTTAATATTTCATTGTAAAAAGTGTATAAAATTATATTATACTATACATTTTACTGTATGGGAGTGATCAAGATGCTCTCAAAGGGTCTAGCCGTACTTCCATGGCGAAAGTGCCCCCGATAGGAACCTATATCGTAACCAATGTTATATTGTAGAGGACACTAATAGTAATTGATCCAGTAAATATTAGATCTATATCTTAGTTAATTGAGGAGCTATTTGAAAAAAAGTGTCAGAGGACGACTTTTTTTCAAAGCGATATAATATCTTAGTTAATTTTAAAGCTAGCAAAACAAAATGTAAGTGTTATGATAAGCTTTATAGCTTATTTTATAGCTGTTTCCTATAGGACAAGCCTAAATAAAAATATTTAAAAAATGCAAATAAAAATTTTGTCAATCGATTTCTATCAGATATAATTAAATTACCACTTTGAAAAAAATATATAATAATGGTCTATATATTGTCTAATAGCATGCCAAAGTGGAAAAATGGAAGTACGGCTAGACCCTTTTAGTTGTTAGCAACTTAACGCCATCTAGTATTCAGAACAGAAATCAAAAGGCAATGTTTAGTAAGTGTTTTCCTAGACGGCACTGCTAACAAACATAATATTTCTATTTTATCCAGATTATGACTAACATGGATGTTGGATGGTGGTATACATTTATAAATAAATATTATTATTTTAACAAAGAACAGATCTAGGTATAATAAAACTAGAAAATCCCTTTTTGTAGATGATAAAAACTAATTTTACTAGAATAATTATCTGAACAATACAAATCTCCGTGCAAAAGTACTAACGTTATATTATGAAGAAAAATCAATATTTAGCCTTCCTTACCTCATTATTTTTGTTATACAAGCTCAGACGATCCTAGGAACTACTAAACGAAATACAAAATATTAACTACACTATACTAGTAGTTAAAGTATGGTGCGCCAGCGTGAGCAGAGTCGGGGTCCAAAAAGATGAGTCTGTAAGTTACTTTGAAAAATAACTTTTTCATAATATTCTGTGAACGGTAATTAGATTCTCCAAACATTCATTAATCAGTGTTTAAAATGGTGGTTTACGCTTATACAAGTTGCATTTTATCACAGATGATTATGAAAATATACCTACTACAGATACCCCATGAACAGTAGCGGATTTAGGTTCGATGGCGCCCTAGGCCCAAGTCAATATGGCGCCCTTTTACAGTAAAAAATGTAATAAACTCATGCCTCATTTTACTCTTATAAGGGATTGAATTTCGAAAAACGCTAAAACAACTATTTATTTAATTGTATTGAAGAGCATTAATACCAAGTTTCAAGTAATTCAGATGTATGAGTAATTTTTTGCTCATATAAACTTTATTAGGGGAATGAGGGGGGAAACTGGATAGGGGGTGAAAACAGATAGCTCCTATTTCATTGCTCCACGTACAGCTGTCTCATTCTAGCTAGTGGAGAAATACGCGCGAACGCTTACTCAGTGCGGTTGCAAATCGCGGCGACGGTATCATCTCGGCGCGTGAGTCTTTATAACGAAATTTAAAAACAAGGGTAAGTTATCTAATATTTAATTTTTTTTAAAGTGTTATCATTAAACTTAGCTGTGTGCTATCATATACAGTTGTATTTTTTAAGAAGTAATACATATTTAACCTTTTAAAACGGTATTGGTTGTTGCTGTGAGTGTAAACATAACCTGTTAGTTATTACAATTTCAAACATGGTACTTGTGGGGTACAAGCGGACGGGGTGAATTCGACTACCCGGTTTCACCCCGATCGATTTTATATGTAGGTATTGTGGGTGTTTGTTTTAAATCCTCTTTTTAATTACTATTTATTTTTTACAGAGTGCGAGCGACAACATGCCACGAACATATGTGAAAAAGTCAGATAAGTTGCAATGGTCGGAGTCAGACATGCTTTTAGCCCTAAATTCGGTGATAGAAGGTAGAATGGGATATCTTTTAGCGTTACATAAAGTGTACCCAAAAGTTCCTTAGAAGATCGTGTAAAGAAGATCAAGTGTGAAAAATCCAAAGACGAAGTGTTTAGAAAGTACCCCGTTACTGCAAAATGCGTTTTCACTGATGAGCTGGAAAGTATGCTAGTCGATCATATCAAAACTATGGAATCTCTACTATTTGGATTGACTAAAACAGATCTGCGACGTTTGGCATTCCAATTAGCTGAAAGAAATAATTTAAAGCATCCTTTTAATAGAGAAACTGAACTGGCTGGCTTAGATTGGGTTAGTGGATTTCTTAAACGACATTCTGAATTATCATTAAGATCACCTGAAGCAACGTCAACTGCAAGAGCAATGGGCTTTAATAGAGCTGTAGTGTCATCATTTTTTAATCTTTTAGATACCATTTACGCTAAGCACGCTTTCAATCCCACGCAAATTTATTACACGGACGAGACTGGATTGACCTCTGTACCACAATACAATCTTAAAAAACCGACTTCCAGGCACTAAAATGTTAAAAATAACTAAACGATGGTTTTCATTAAGAATAGATACCTAATCAGATATTTTCGAATCGGTAAAAAGACGAATAAAAAACTATCAGGAGGATTCGGAGTCTTTGGTTTGAGGAGAAAAGTATAGTCAAACTAAGTCCTCAAATAAATGGTACCAATGCACTGCTTGACTTAAATGGGCTTACGAAGTTGCATCGGTTGTTCTGAGCAAGAATTAATATTTTTTGTATGCAAAAACTGCGAATAATTTGAATATTTAGTTTTATTGTTAGTATCTGTATTCACCCCTAGAATATAAAATACCTATCCGGTTTGACCCATAGGTATGGGGTGAATTCGGATTTATAATTTTTAATTAAAATTGTTCTATTTTATTGTTATTAACATTGATCTCAAACATTTTCATACCAAAGTTATGCCTAAGGTATACTTAAACGCTTATAATATTGATTATCTCTATAAATAACATAGTGATTTATTTATTGTGCCTTCTTCTTAACTATCCGGTGTCCCCCCACCTTCCCCTACCCCCTTTTACCCCTTTAAGGGATGAATTTCGAAAAATTCAAATAAATATATTGCTTATTTTTTATCTTAAAGCGAAATACCACTTACTGTGTATTTCACGTTAAGAATGACAGAGTTTCACTCAATCTTTTATTCCCAATTTTACTCACTTAGGGGATAAATTACGAAAAATCCTTTCTTATCAGAGGCCTACATCTTATAAGGAATACGGCCTCCAAACACGTTTCTACGACCAGAGGATTAGGCTGTGTGTTGATCCATCAGTTAGTCAGGACCACCACAGAGTGCACCTCTCCTTTTCAACTCTTACTTCGGCTGGTCTAACTTTCAGGTACAATACATTGCACAGGTAAGATGCGAACACAATAGAAACAAAATACCAGGTATAAAAAAATCACATTAAATTACTTAACCTATAACAGACTGAATGTAAATAGGCCATATGAGTGGCGACCTCCTTCTGAGAAATCTTCCCCACTATCATTAAATTTAAGGAAATTTGATTCATGAGCGCAATATTTCATTTTCGTTTCCTAATTTTTTGAACCCTAATATAGGTACTTTTTTGCCGTCTATTTTTTAACTTTTGTTAATTTACACAAACCCTAATCGATTCAGATAATGCCATCTATTGCACCATACATCTAAAACCACAGATATATTATTGGAATTTACCTAATTGGCTTCCTTAAAAAGTAGTTTGCGCCTACAAATCGTTGCTGTTTATAACTGTAATAGAGCAGAACATTTATAGATCATAGATAAATCATTAATTCATATATTAGGACATCAACACACAGCACCATCTATTACATGGTAAACTACGAGGTCATTCCATCATTGCGGCAACTCGACGTGCTTCATTTACTTCGGCGGTTTTCCCTCAAGTATTTAATATAGAAGGTCAACCAGATCCTGAGCCACAGCCTGGTCCAACGAAAAGACCAAGGACAGAGTAATAATTATACCACGTAAAAAAAAAACGCGCCTCCAGATTCCACCTCGTAGGTGGTAAGGAAAAGAGTCAATATTTAATTAATAACAATATTGCATTATCAATAATTAAAAAGATTATCATAATAATAATGAAAAGAAGATTGAAAATTATGGCGAATCAATAAAATTTTTTGTATATTTATGAATAGTGAAGAATAGTATATTCGTTTCGTAGCTCTGTAAAACCTTAATTTAAAAAGTTTACAATGAAAATGGTTCCTTAAAAACGCTTCTATAAAAATGGTCTGATATAATTGTTTTGTAAAATGATCAGAAAAAAAGTTATAACGACAAATAGAAAAAAAAATCTTCAAGTTTCACCGATTTTCGCCTATAACTTTGTTATTTTTGGTTCTACGACTAAAAGTTACTTGACCAAAGTTGTAGAGAATTTTATTTGCAACTAAAAATGATTCAACAATTTTGTTGTGAGTCCTATAGTTTGTCAGATAAACCATAAAAACCATTTGGACCCATTTTTCCAAGATGGCGGCCGTGGGACAAGGGCTGCAACCCCACAAACTTGGATTTAACTTTACACTAACCCCTCCTTGATATCTAAAAAATAAAATTGCGTCCTCTGACAAATACAACCCCAAATGTAACTTTTCAATGGACTATATACAAAACTTCTAAATTTAAAAAATATCTATCTTTATAAACTAGAATGCTTATTAAAACGGCATTTTATAACCTGTAGCGACATCTTTCGGCTGGAAGCAAACAATAGCAGTGAAGTACCTAATGTGCGAAAGAAACAGCTACCCATGAAACAGGGAGTTAAAAAACAAAATCATTTATATGTATTTATTGACGATCATTTATACTACTTATTATTAATTACAAATTATAATAACAACATACATAATTTTTCAGAGTTAAATTATAGTAAGAATAACCTATGACATGTCAATGGAAGAATAAACTAAAAAGATACAAATGATTGTAAAAGTTTTCCAATATGTTTAAGCATTATTTAAGTCTTTACTTTATTTTCATAAAAAATATATATTCTAATTAGCTTAATAATGAGCTAACAAATTGTCAATTATTTTTTTTACTTTAAGTTAACCTCAATTATTTCAATGCTATACATAAATAAAATAATATAATCATAACATTCCATACCACTCATCTCAGGCAAAAAATATCAACATATGTGTATGAAGTTATAATAATACAAAATTTTAATGTGTTTTTAGAAAAATAATTGAAAGCTTTGATTTCTCAAAATAAGACATTTTTCCTAAATTCATTATTTATTTAAATTAGAAACGTGATTTTATGAGGCAAAAATGTGTTGTTCTTTAAGTTAACATTAATTTACTATATAGAAGGTATTTAAAAAATATATCGGTGGATAATTCAGAGAGAATTAAACATTAAGCACTATAAATAAAAACTAATTCTATTAAACATAATCAGCACATTGAGTTACAGCATCTACATATTGTATTCAATAGAAAAATGTATATTAAAGCTGAATACACAATTAATTTTATATAGATGCTAAAACTTATGGGCCCATGTTCTAAAGATATAATTAAAAAATGTCAACAAGAAATTATAAGTCAACCATAGTTAAATTTTTCTTGGCTTTGACTGTTCGGCAACTGTTAACTTTTGTGGCAAATCTTAAGGAGTTAAGAGTCTCATTGAAACATTCATCGAATTGATTGATATTAACCAACATAAGAGTTTTTGAATTGCCACCGAGACTAGGCATCAATAAGTGAGTGAGTTTTGAATTCCTGTAAGGAATATGAGATTGATTAGTTTGCAAAGATAATATAACTTTTGAAAGTTCTGAAAGAGATCTATTAATATGTTTTGTCTCATCCATCCTTTGAGTTGTTTTACCACTCTCTGAGCCAGCCAAATCAACCAAATTTAAATTACTTGTAAACTTTTCTTTACGTTTATCATTGATAGCTGATATTTTAATTTGGGCAACTGAATGTGACCGAGAACTTCTTTCATTGTTTAAAGTAGCTGCTGTTTGTCTGTTACGTTGTGCAAATATCAGCAATCTGATAAAGTCATGAGAGCTCTTCACTTCTTCTTCCTTTAAGTTTGATACATATAAATCAGTGCCTTTAGAGTTAACCATTTTAATGTCATGATTTTCTTGATCTTTGCTAGAATTTAATAAATCATAAATTATTTCATTGTATATTTCCAAAAATGAGGCTTTAATAGTCAATTCCCAGCCCATTCTCTTGAGATCCTCCATACAAGTAAAAATCATATTAATAGCTCGAGGTACAATACCATATTGTTCTGTTCCATAGCCTCCTTCCATTGTGTAAGTCTTTCCAGAGCCTGTTTGGCCATATGCAAATATACAAACATTATATCCATCTAAAGCTGATTGAACCATTGGTGACACCTCAGCAAAGACATCTTCCTGAGATGAATGTGGTGTGAAAATACCATCAAATGTAAATGAATGCTGCGATTTACCTTTTCTTGCTGAATTAAGGAGTTCAATCTTTTCAACTTCTATAGAGCAGGCATCAAGTACATTAAGATTGTACAGAGGCTTTGAAGTTTCCGACTCCAGCGGAGGCCTCACTCTGCAGTATACTCTAATATTTCCTTTCAAATCTTGTACAGTGTTCCTAAGAGCCCGTTGATCTCTATACATAGTTGCTAGAATATTTTGTAATGCCTCTGAGTCATTTTTATTTTTTGTAATTGTGTCAATTGCATCCTTATGGTCTAATTGTAATTTATCATATTCTACAGATATTTTTTTAAGGTGATCTGTTAGAACCCTTAGGGCTTCAGTTTCTTCACTTAAGCTTTTATGTCGGCGAGTTAAATCATCAAATTCCATTTTAAGCTTATCAAATTCTAATGTTTTTATTTTCAAACTAGCAGTTACATCTTCTAAAAGTCGAGTTTTATTATATAAGTCTTCATTTTCGCGTTTTTGTATTTCAAAATCAACTTTCAAACTTTCATATTCACTTGATTTTTGTCGAAGATCTTTTACAGTATTTAGCAACTTTTCCTTTAACATATCTCTTTCACTGATGTTTCCTTCAACAGTTTCTTTTATTTTTTCATATTCATCTGATACTTCTAAATGTTTGTCCCTTAAATCATTCAATTCACTTTTAATAGCCTTGTGTTTTTCTACTAAGTCATTAAACCTAGCTTTATAATCATATGGAGCAATTCTAGGAGCAACAGTAACTTTTTTCTCTACTTTCCCTACTTTATTAGGGGCTGTAGTCGAGGTGGGCGCTGTTGCTGATCTTTTAAGGCGCGGAGCTGCAACTGTGGTTGCAGGAGCACCGCGTAAAGGTTTAGTATGGTTTGTTAATAATGTCTTCTTGTCGGCATCACTTAGAGTATTTCCAATTGTTCTCGTTAAATTCCGACCATTTGTAAATGTTGGTTTATTTTCTTTAGAAGCAGTGGAAGGAAATTTTGGAATACGAGACATCTGAAATAATACAACAGAAAATTATTTCCTGTAAAGTTACTGGATGCACTTTCAATGCAACATAAACATGATAGTTGAATAAATAAAAAGTAGTCAAAAGTACTTGAAATATACTTAATATTCAAGTTCAAGATTTTCTGAATAAAAGGTTCAACGTTAGGTACTATTACTATCTTGAATAGGTATCGAAGGTTCTTGATAGTCATTGCTTTGTCTATAAATAAATTGTTTTAATACTATAACTCATAACAATAATTTAAAATTAACTCACCGTAAAGTACTAATATTTACTATTTATAACATTCACAATCACATTAATTAAACACGAACAATCGTTTCGCTTGTCAAGTTAGTAAACGGACACAATTTAAAATTCGAATATTTACGCTTTGGAATAGTGTTACAATATAAATAAAATATATGGAAAAAATGTTTCGCTTGTTAATTTTGATTGTAATTATATCTTAAAATGAATAAATAATATTTAATAGTCAAATGATTTTATTGATATTAATATTTTCTGAAAATTGTTTAAATGGCATTGTGTTGTTAACCGTAAAATATTTACAAATAATGTTACATGTGAAAAGGGCATGACGACTTATATAAAATTATGACAATTTACATCTTAAATTGAAAAAGAAATGATAGAATTTATTAATTTAACTTAATGGTTAATATATTTTAGAAAAATAGAAATATTTATTTATATAATCTGTATAAATGAACACGAGACATTGCAACACTGAATGAACAAAAGTCAAATTGCCATTTTCCAATTTTGTCTCAGTGTGTTTAGTGTGGTGAATAATTGAAGAAACCATATTGTTTATATATTCAGTCTAATAGAAAGGAGATAATCGAAAGATAATATTAGATTTGACGAAATATATTGTGTTTACAGTTTGTAATCTATTTTTCATCATATTTATATACAGTCGCTAGACCTGTTTATCACCATTGACGGATGTCCTTGTACATTTTGCAAGAAATATTGTGGCGGTAAATTTGATTTTTACTTATAACCAACGACTTATCATGTAAAATATTTGTTTTGAAGTATAAAATGGGTAGTTCAGAGGAAAATGTGTTTACTACTGAAAATAAAACTGAATGTGAGCTCATCGAAAATGAAGCCGGCGATATATCTGAAAACGATGTCAACGAATCTGCGGAGCTATCGCTTAATATGAGCGCTTCATCAAACGCACTTACTGCAAATGATGGTAATTCTTCTAAAGAGGGAGATACTTCTGTTGCTGGAAGCTCAAAGAAGACTAAAAAGAAATTTAGACATGGCAAAAAAGGTCATGTTCCTTCTAAGGATAATCAAGAAAGATGTACCCTAAGAAGAGTTCACCATCCCAGCACAAAGTTTAAACAATGTAAGAAACGAGCACAAAGTTTTCCATCTATATCAAAATTTTTCCTCCCTTACAAAAGACCGCGCAAGGAAGCATTTATTCCACCCACAAAATTTCTTCTTGGCGGGAATATTTCAGATCCTTTGAACCTTAACAGCTTACAAGATGAAGATGTAAATAGAGCTATGAATGCTGTAACTCCAGAATCATCACCCTTACCTACACCACCAAGGCACAAGGCTAAGATAGATGTTATAATTCCACCCAATATTAGGGATCCACTTAATCTCATGGAGCCTTTAGATAATGAAGAATACGAAAAAAGGCTAGAAATGCAACAGCGAAAACCTCGAAAGAAACCTAGAATAAGGAGGCGCACAACAGAAACAAATACACCTGCAATAGAGGTAACTGTTGAAAAGGAAGAGGGCATAAAAGAACCATTACCCCCAGAGCCATCTACATCCGTATCAAAGTCAAGAAAGAGATCCTGTAGTGAAAGTGAAAATAGCTCTCAAAAAGGAAAAGATGGTAAGAAATTGCGCAGAATGGATTCATTGGATAAAATAGTAAGTCCAGTAGTGCCACAACCTGGAGCTTGGATGAGAGCACGACCACAGCAGCGTACTGGTACTCAAGATCGTCCAGCTTCTCCTCACAGGACTAAACTTAAAAGTGTGTCTGAGGAAGAACAAAAGTTGCCAACATTTCATCCCAAAAATTCAAGATACCAGTATGGAAATTATGATAGGTATAAATTTTATAATTATCTGTTTCTTAATACATATATAAACTCTAAAAATGAACATAATATAAATTCATAAAACAAAAAAATAATATTTATAGAAATTAACTCTAGTATTCTAAGAAATAATATAGTTCATATTTAACTTCTCTATTCGACAATATATTATGTGCTATATATGTAAATTTTAAGTATTTGACTATTATCTCTATCTATGTTTATTTACAGGTATTATGGTTATCGAAACCTGAATGCCATGATGGATATTCGGCTGCAAGTTTTTGAAATGCATCGTCATCTATTTCAAAACAAAGATGTCTTAGATATAGGGTGCAACGTTGGACATATCTCCATAGCTGTTGCTAGAACTCTTGGAGCAAAGACTGTTCTAGGAATTGATATTGATCCAGTGCTCATTGGTATGTAAAATGTATAAAACTTTGTTTAATATTCACTGAATTGATGATTAAGAAAAATTATATTCTATTTTGTTTCTTATATATATCATTATATATTTCTCATTATATGTTTACATTAATATATAAAATTTATCAATATAAAGGAAAATATTAAAACATTTAATTACTTTTTATTTACTAGTGGTAAATTACTTGAGAAGATATCAGATGAAAATTTTCAAAGTACAAAAAGAATTTTCTTTAATCTTATATTAGTGTACATAATATATAATTATATTTAATTTATTCCAGGAAGGGCAAGAAAAAACTTAAGATCCTTCATACCAGTACCAGCAGAGCAACCAAAGACAGAAGAAGATAAAAAAGCAGATGGTGACGAGAAAAAATTAGATTGTGATAAATGTAAAGAGGATAAATGTGAAGACTGTATTTCTGCGGACCAGAAACATGATAAAGAAGATGATTCTAAGAAGGCACTGTCAGGAAGAAAGTTGCGGAAGCCGAGGAAAAATAGGAAGTCAATTAACAAACAGGAGCATGGACAGTGTTTTTTCCCTATGTCTATGTCTATGATGTTTGGACCTCTCGGGGAGCCGAAGGCAGATGTTTTAAATCAAGGTTTCCCATACAATGTCACATTTAAGCAAGTATGTATACATTTTTTACTTGAATAATATTCTGTCTCTCTCTCTCTCTCTAATCTTAAAATTAAATTTTATTGTAAAAATTATAAATTAATTAGATGTGTTTGGTTTTATATAGCAATTAAAAACATTTTATGGCATGGCTGTTGACTTATTCCATACAGTTATTTTGTATAAGTAAATACATTAAATCTTTTAAATATTTAGTAGATATTTTGTTTTTATATTTTTTTTATTCCTTTCAGGGTAACTATGTACCGCGTGAGGAAGTAGCAGTGGGTTCTGGTATGGAAAGTCCCCAGTTCGATTTGATTTTGTGTCTATCGACAACCAAGTGGTTGCATTTGAACTGGGGTGATGCTGGGCTGAAGAGGGCATTCCGTCGGATGTTTGCAGATCTGCGTCCAGGAGGCAAGCTCGTGTTGGAAGCACAAAATTGGGCTAGCTACAAAAAGAAGAAGCGTTTAACTGTAAGTTTTCATTTATTAGTAGAGTTTTGTGTTTAATTTAGAATGATACGAACCTTTCCTTACTTATAACAATTATCAGTTCAAAGAAAAATTTTGCCTTTCTAACATTATCTATATTTTATTTTATTATGTAGCTTGCATAAACCAAACTTTCTCAAACCAAGACTGTCCTTAAGAAACTTATGACGACTCATTACTTTTAAGCCCCTATGCAAAAACGATGGGATGTTATAAGTTTGACGTGTCTGTATGTGTGTGTGTCTGTCTGTGGCATCGTAGCTCCTGAATGAATGAGCCGATTTTAATTTGGTTTTTTTTTGTATGAAAGGTGAATTAGTGGGAGTGTTCTTAGTAGATGAAAATCGGTCCAAGATAGTCAGGGGTTTTTTTAATTTTTATTATTTATAGAATATAGTTCTTTTGTTTATTATTAAATAAATAAAGGTATATAATACTACATATGTACATAAATTTGAAAAGTTGTATTACATTATAACAGCAAGTTATTTTGGAAATAGTTTTATAAGGAAAATATAATTTTTCCTTATGCAGTTTTTTTATCTGATGCTCAAAAACTTGTAATTCATTAGCTCATTAGCCTGTTAACAAGCTCATTAACACTGCTAATTGTAATCATACATCAGTAAGATTCAATGTGACTTTGGTTTGTGTGAAATATGTGCATTTTATTGTTTAAAAAATTCTGTAAAACATATACATTCAAACATAAGCAGACGGGACACTGTAAAAATTAAAAAAATAGTTTTGCTTTTTCTATGATACATCAGAACAAAACCATAAATATATTAACATTGTATATGAATTTATTGTACAGTGACACTCATGACTGTTCACTTTATTTTTATTTGTATTAAAATGCTACAAAATGTAGTAAAGGTTGATAATAAATTAAGAATTTTAATCTATACAGATAAATGAAATTTAAGTGTCTGTCTGTAATTTCAAAATAATAGTTTTTTACTGTAATTCAGTGCATATGAAATTATATATTATGGTACTTATAAGAAAAACACAATTTTTAACATTTCGGTCTGTCTATTTGTTCTAACTAATCTCTGAAACGGCTGGACTGATTTTGACGGGACTTTCACAGGCAGATAGCAATTACAAGGAGAAACTTAGGCTAATTTTATTTTAGAAAATGTGGTTCCAATAAAAAAAACTAAAAAAATTAAGCGAGAATAAGTTGCAAGTATAATAATAAAGTATGTCTTTGCTAAAGATGTACTATATTTTATTAAAATAAGAAAATGCATTGGCCTCACTGTGCTGCCGCTATCACAACACGAGACAATTATTTAAGAAATGGACCTTTAATAACCTATCTGTGCTTTTCGTTTCTACTAATAAAATAGGAATTTGATATAATTTGCACGGAATTTATGTCAAATTTCTATCTCGAGTGAACGAAAACTTCAGTTATGTTATTGAAAACCACCGTAAATGTAGTATAGATGCATCGATCAAAAAAGTACTAGATACACAATTAGCGACAAGAAATGTCCTCACCGAATGAGCACTCATTTGAACACTTAGGCGCGCTTTTTTTATTGTGAAAACAACTTTAAGCCTTGCATTTAATGTTCAATTTACATTGTTATATATTTATTTCAACTAGAATAATTAACTAAACACAATTGGTGACTGTTTTAAGATAACTTTTGCATGGGATTGTGTATCTAGTACTTTTTTGATAAATGTACAGAAGTAATAATAATAGTGACAAGGGGCAATCGTCGAAGAGATTCACCAATGGCATAACATCGTACAAATCAATGATATAGAAATCTAAATAATAAATCGGTCCTGCAATAAATAGTATGAGTAAAAGTATTATACCTATTATGTAATTGCTAGAAAAACAAAAACAATTGTATTCCTCGGGAACCGTATATTTTTCCGGGATAAAAAGTAGCTTATGTGTTATTCCAGACTATAATATATCTTTGTGCCAAATTCCATCCAGATCCGTTCAGCCGTTCTGGCGTGAAAGAGTAACAAACATCCATATATACTCACAAATTTTCACATTTATAATATTACAAAATAATACGGATTTGTTTATATTTTGAGCAGTAATGATGTTATAATTGTATGTCGTAATACGCGATAATTTAATATGCGTTATAAATAGAGTTAACAACTAAAGTTAATAATTGCTATTAATGAGTGATAACGACAGAGGGCTCGAGTAAATTATAAAAGGCTTGAAATTGCAAGTATAATGTAATGATTATGAAATAATGATAGTGTGTTAGGTCAGAGGGCATTCATGAAATACGTCATGTAAAATATTCATTTAGTACCTATTATAGCTTTTTTTATCAGGCGTAATGTTTATCAACTTATGTAACCTTTTTTATCGTGACGTAAAAATTACATTTAAATAAATAATTCATATAAAATTAAGGATTATTAATCCCTTTACGACTGCGGACACGCCGGCGTTACAGTTAAAGATAGATTTCTTAGAAATTTAATTAATTTCTTAGAAATTTACCTGGAGGTGTTGAAATTAAATAATATTTATAAATTCTGAATGTCACGTTTCTTTAGAAGCTATAAGGAAGTCATTTGTAAACGTATTTTGTGTTTCCTTTTATTAAATAAAATATTATTAGTTTTAACGCTTTTTAACTTTTTTTTATTTTAACGTTTATTGAATGATTATAAATGTAAATATGAACGTGAGCCAGTTAATTGATTTAATATTGTTTATTGTTACAGCCAACCATATATGAAAACTTCAATTCAATTGAGCTGTTCCCGAATAAGTTTCGGGAGTATCTCCTATCGCCGGAGGTCGGTTTTAGCAAGTGTTGCATACTGGGAGTGCCGCAGCACGCGAGCAAGGGCTTCAGGCGGCCCATACAGCTGTACGTGAAGGGCGACTTCACACCGAGCAAAGTGTGCTGGTCGGATGCGTACGCGCCGTCTTCACACCACAGGTCCGAGGCCGAGCCGCCGCGCCGCACGGTGTACGCGCCGGTCGCGCCCGCCTACCGGCCCAGCGACGATGCGCCCTCCTGCGGCGCCGTCACCCCCTACTCCCCCAACCTGGACTGCAGTGCGGACGACTCCCCCTTCTACAACCCTCGTAGCGACTCATACGCGCCCTCCTACCAGCCTCCGAGGCCTACGGTGTACGCGACGTTGCCCTCCCCGCGGGGCGTTGCCTCCCCCGCCGCGTCCCCGGCCGCGTCCCCCGCGCCGCACGCGCCCCCCGCCCCCGACCCCCTGTCGGCCCGCGGCTACCCCCCGCCCGAGCGCTTGCACGACGACTGAACGCCACACAGTGGTACCGCCTTTCGTTTTGTATGTAAATACTGTAGATCCCCTTTATGTAAGATTATGTTTCGATAGGATGAAAATATTTTATAATATTATATTCATAACGTATTAAAAGCAATGTTGTGTTTTATTTTATCACCTAAATCGAATGTAGGTTTATTGTAATTTTCATAATCAATTATTATAATACATTAATTTGATGATTCTATTATTGTTTATTTGATGCTGGTTTTTTATAATATTTGATCGTCGTAAGTTCGAAGGACATTTTACGAAGATAAAAATGATCGGTTCCTATAATGTTAAGAGGGAATGTTCCAGGCAGGTCGTGACGCTGACAAAGTGCTGTAGTTAATAAATGCGGATACACGCAACTTACATTCTAGTTTTTTGTGAGTGTCGTTATATTTTTTATTTTTATATTATGGTAGGCTTGAGATAAAAGAGAATATAATAATTCGTTTTACCATGTTTGGTAGGTACCTACTGTCTTTATAATTGGAAGTTGGTGGGTTCGATTATTTTACGTGGCAAATATTAAGTTCACAATGAAATGATATATCTATATAAATAAAAATGAATCATCAAATTGTATGTAGGTACGTGCAAAGCTTCCGATCAAACTGGATACTGGAACTGGAGACTGCATCAAATTGGATAATTTTCTTTTTGTGTTTGTTATTATCAGAAAGTTTTGTATAGAAGAACATTAAAAGATTTTTTTTTACTAAAATAAGATTTTTTTAAGTCTCATGATATGAAAAGTATGAGTGAAATAGTTTTAATCCCGGAAATCATCCCTTAAGGGGGTGAGAATAGGGATGAAAGTTTGTATGGGGAAGCAAGCTAGAGGCGAATCCGAGCGAAGCAATGGTGAGCCGCTAGTTAAATAGTATTTCTATACTCGATTTGTGATTGTAAGCAACCACTAGAGTTTATTTGTAAATGGAGTGCATTCTTAAAATTAAGAAACGTGAAACAAGTTTTTTAATGAAAAACAAGCTTTTATTTATAAGAGTGTTGTGTAATTATTTTCTGTGGTAGTCAATTCTGGCTTCATCATCGGATCATATTGGCACCGAAGTTTCATAGGTATCCTTAATAGGATACCAGCAAGGGAGACATAAACAAAAATATTAAAATTTCAGAGTTTTAAAGATTTAAACGATCAATAGCTTTAATCAAAACAAGAATAGGTAATTATATAATATATGCGTTTATATTTCGACTAGCATTGCCCGCGGCTCCGTCCAGATGAACAAAAACCAAATTCTTAGGTTTTACATATTAGTATACTCTTACAATGCAGTTTTTGTATTTTTTCTCAGAAATGAGACATTTTTCCGCGGTAAAAAGTATCCTATATGTTGACCTCGATAACCAGCTATCATCATACCACATCAAAATCTGTCCAGTGGTTTTCTCGTGATGCAGTAACAGACAGACAGACAAAAATTCTATAAACTATAGATTCAGCCTCTGTATCGATAATAATGTTTATTTTCAATAAGTTTTTCCAAAAAATATTTAATGTACAGATTCGGCTTAGTTACAATTTTATTGTATGTATAGATTATATAATTTATTTTTTTTTGACCAGCAGCTGAGCTTATCTCTAAAACTCCAAAAAGAATGGGGTCTAAATTCGAAGGTTTTATTTTTAGCCATTGACAAGATCCACAACCCTCCTCCTGGTCTTATAATCAGATAACTGATCATGGCGCCATGATTATAACTTATAGTTGTTGCTTTTCAGATTTCACATAAAAATAATAATTCAAATTTTTAGAATTAGTCTAAAATCGACTTTTAAATTAAAAGAATGTAACAATCGGTTACAAAAGATTTAGGTATAGATATGTTAACAATATTAAATTCAATTATTTACATTACAACTGAAAACAAAGAACATCACTATCCATAAAAAGGAAAGAATTCTTATTGTTTTACAAATTCATTCAATTATATGGGCAGTATATGTTTCTCGCAGACTCGATAATTATTGATTATCACTAGGTCTGCTATAAAAAGTATACGACGTGGGAGAGTGCATGGGAGGGACGGGGAAACGCCTAGAGATACAAGCTTACGTATCGTAACTCACATATGGCAGATACTCATCTGCATGTCGTTCGAATGATGATAAAAATAATTTAATTAAAAAAAAACCATTTTAATCTTATACAAAATGGTCATGCCTGTGTAGCTTAGGAGATACACATGTGTTATTGCGAACTTTTCTGTTGGCCTTTTTAAAACCAAAAATGTTCTAGTAGGTACATTGTTTTGATCCGTCTCTTTAGGTTTAGCCTGTGTTAGCTACAGTGCCGGAGTCAACCTTACCGCTGCCCCTGGGGATTGTTAAAAATGTCGTCCAATTATCGAAATTTTGCATAAAATAGGTAAAGGTTCGATAAAGTTTGTTTTTTTTTTTTAATTTTAAGTATTTAAAAAAAATATGTACTGAGCTGAGCTGATAGTTGAGCTTCATATACATATTTAAATAAAAGGTTAAAGATAACTTTTGAATTGATTGGTAGATGTAAGACAGCTTGAAACATCACCATCTCAGTTTTTAAGGTACCTCAAAACGTCCCCCCCCCCAACGTCCGTTCACCTTGTCGTGGTGGGGGGCTCAGTAGTGCCCGGCAATACAGCCGGGCGCGAAGCCAAGAAACGCACAGGGAGGTGGCCCGCTTCGGTGGGCAGTGGGAGGCGGCCCTCTTCGGAGGGCGGTGTACCATGCGGGTTGCTCCTGGTACTTCTTTGATAGCAGAGTGGACCTTGGAGCAACCCCGTGGTTGTTGTGGTCTGCTTCGGCAGACCTGCCGTCGGGGCGTCGTTGTTATAATAATAATAATAAATTCTTTATTGACATAATTTTTACATACACAGGTGATTAAGAATTCCCTAGCCCCTGCGCTCGTTAAAAACTGTATTGCAGGACCGTTGAATGCGTAAGCGATCCTGCGACGCCCCATTAGGACGGAGGAAGGTTTTGTTGGGTTTTAGTGGGTAGTACTGGCTTTGCCGGTGAGTCCCACACCTCGTGCGTAAATGCATTTCCCAACGTTAAAAAAAAGGTACCTCAAAACGTAAAATAAGGAACTCTTATAAGATCACTCTTGTCCGTCTGTCCGTCTGTCTGTCCGTGTGTTACTACCGTGTTTCTCAGGAACGGGTGGACCTAGCAAATTGAAATATATACCTGTTTCTGAGATCTATAGTCCCTATTAGGTATATAAAAATCAAGGTCTTCAGTCAACACGATATAAAGATATGAGCAAATTTAGATTATCGCGAAAACTTGTAAGTATCAAAATTTACCTTAATTTTCAACTTTTTTTATTATTCGGAATTTCCCCTTTACGTGTGCTTTACCTTGCTTTTAACCAAAATTGACAATTCTAGGTCAACCGAAAGTACCCTATAAGTTTTGGGTAGAAAACCTATATGGTAGTTCCCGTTGACCTAGAATCAGTATATATAGATGTACTTATGAAGCAGTGGTAGCCCAGTAATGACGCGTTTACTTGGGAATAAAAAGTGAAGCGGGTTCAAATCCTGGGCCTCTCATCTCTAAAATTTTTTATTTAATGATTACCACATGTCTTACGGTGAAGGAAAACGTCGTGAGAAACTTGTTTGTCTGAGAGAACGTAGCAAATTCTCCAAAGACATAGGTACCAAGTCCGCCAACCCGCACTTGGTCAGCGTGTTGGCTTATTCCCTCTTGCATTGAGAGAAGGCTCGTGTTCAGCAGTAGGACGTTAAAAAGGCCTGAATAGGTACTATACATATATATTTTATTATTATAGTTAAGCTAATATCAATTTTAAAAGTAGGTACATCAAGGTTTGCATTTGCAGCAAATATCTAATAATATCAATGACAATGGACTATAGGTACAAGGGGCTTAGATGAAATGACATCCTACATTTACTATAGCGAATAGAAAATTAAATAAAGTAAAAAAAGTAATTTATTCATCAAGACAGACAAGACATCACATACCATGTTTTCATTATAATATTTAATGAATTATTTATTATTTACTGTATTAAAATAAGGGCAAAGGAAAACATCGTGAGGAAACCTGCATGTCTGAAAGAACTTAGCAATTTTTCAAAAGACATGTGAAGTCCGCCAACCCGCAATTGGCCAGCGTGGTGGACTATGGCCTGATTCCCCTCGTATTGAAGGGAAGCCCGTGCCTAGCTGTGGGACGTTAAAAAGGGCTGAATACATACATACCTACATTCATATTAAAATTATAATGTGTAAAAAGGAGAGTAAAATCATTTATTTTAATTTTAACACTATCCATTATGGCAAGACATGAGCTTATGTCTAAATTGTCTACACTTGTCCATCATTTCATTGTAAATTGAATCTACCTAATATATTTCAGTAAATTTAGGTAATAGATTTGCATGTTAATGTATGCAAATCGTATTTACCCTTTTTGGCCAAAAATTAACCATACAGTTACTAAGATACAATGTAGGGGATAAGTAAGTACATGAACAAAAATCTAATTCAATGGTTTGAATGGTCAAAGCTTTTGAAGGTCGACAATTTACTTATGCTTGACAATGGACTGTATTCTATAGGTAAAAGGGGCTTAAATGAAATGACATCCTATATTTACTGTAGCGAATAAAAAAAAAATAATGTATGAAAATTATATGCCTAAGAAGTAAGAACCTAACAAATTTTATAATTTTCAGTTTAGCATTATCGCTGATGTTTTCAACATGTTCTTAGTTTTTTCAGTATAGCAAGAAATTATGAAATTCTCATAATTTAAAAGACGGTTAAATGTGCTAAGTAATCTTCAATATACTCGTACATAGTTTTAGTACCTAAGTACATAATTAATTATTTTCATGGACATAAACAAGTTAGGACTACTTAAGATGTAGTCCCAAAAGGTTCAATTTTATTGTTTGTTTATGTGTGTTTAGTCCAGACTTTAGAAGCCTCAACTC